TCAGCTCTCCACCCATAAGCAACGGTAAGAGAAATGTTTCGTTCATGATTGATAACTTGTATGAATGCCGGTTGAATAAAGCCTTGTTGTTCATCTGATATTCAAGTTGTGTTTCATTGTTTCTGGCGTCGACTTGACAACGATCCTGACTAAATAAATATAAAGTGTAAAAAGAGACTTTGAGTCTTTTAAGGTAATTAAAATAAAATAAAACATTTTATTTTAGAACACACCCCCCCACACACACACACACCACCACCACCACCACCACCCCACCCCCATAGCTGGGCTCCCCAGAAGCCTCTGTGTAATCCATACCCTCTCCAGTAGTGTTAGTTATTCAGTGTTTATAAAAGCCCCTCAGATATTACTGACATGTTCTAATATTATCAGATGAAAAACTAAATTATCAGACATGCTGTCTCATCTGCTTTTTTTCTAAACTTGCAAAAAGTAACAAAACCATTTGAAAGCCACTATTTGTGGATTCTCTGAAAGTTTCCAGTGTGACAACTTATTTTTTCATTGATCCTATCGTCTAATCTCACAGCTGAAACAAGCATCCTTGATAATCTGTGCACAGGAAGCTTACCGATGGTGCAGTAAAACAAAAGGTATAATTTATTGTTGATAAAACCGTGTTGCAGCACTAAAGCAGAAAAATGAGATTTTGCAGTAAATATGCTAAATATTTATTGTTTTAGAGCCCTTTTATTGGCAGAATCTGATATTAATGTAGTTCTTACAAAAAATGGGTCCCAACGTGGTTTGTGCGGCATTGCCAGTGTGATGTCATAGGCACAGATCCCCTGTCCTCTTGTGTGGAAATGGAAATATGATCACCCTGTATTAAACAAACTGTCCACCCGGGCTTTTGCGCTGCACAGAGACGCTTCGCTGCCTATGACTCTGAACGTCTGTTGAGAGTCAGTCTCATGCAGACTGACCAATGAAGAGAGGGCCTCAAGTTAAGACTCTCTCCTCATTGGTCAGTCCACACGAGGTGGGTCAAAGGTTACCCTGAGCGGGTTAAGTGAAGTCAGGCATTCAAGTATTGAGTAGATTTACTGCATATTACAGTAAAATATTCTGTATGTGACCACATTATGGTGATCCTTGGGTCGTGATGATGGGGCCCTTGAATATTGTTGCCCAGGGTACAACGCAGTGTTAATCTGGCCCTGCATGGATGGGGCCATCGTCTAGCACACTGCTGCTAACCACTTAAACATTCTCCCTCTCCTGATAATAACTTTTTGCTTTCCTTGACGTTGGATGTGCTTCTGTTAGTTTACCCGTTTAATTATAGATTCACTAGGATAAATACAATAAAGTTTATCTCTCGCCAAATAGAATATTACTAAGAAATCACAATGTTACCATAGACACATTGCTTGGGGGTGTGTGCGTGCGTGCGTGCGTGCGTGCGTGCGTGTGTGTGTGGTCTTCTTGATCCCCCCAGTGAGTCGTGGAGGATGGCTGCTTATACTGAGCCAGGATCCTCTGGAGGTTTCTTCCTGTTAAAAGGGAGTTTTCCTCTCCACTGTCGCTAAATGCTTGCTTAGTATGAGGATTGCTGTAAAGTCACTGACACTAGTCAATGACTTGATGCAATTTGCTGGGTTCCTTATATAGGAAACATTTTTTTTCTGATTGGCTTAATGAACTGACCTGTATTGGAATGTTTACTATGTGAAGTGCCTTGAAATGACTCTTGTGATTTGGCGCTGTATAAATAAAATTGAATTGAATTGAATAAAGCACGAGATTGATAGGCGGATTTGTGCTGTGTCTGCAGTAATGCAGGCATTGTACCAACCTGTCGTGGTCAAGAGAAAGCTGAGCCAGAAGGCAAAGCTCTCGAGTTACCGGGTCGATCTATGTACCTACTCTCACTTATGGTCATGAGCTTTGGGCCTTCTGCAAGTATCCCTGGTGAGGTTTCCTGGGCACGTCCAACTGGGAGAAGACCTAAAGGAAGACCCGCTGGAGGGACAATGTCTCGTGGCTGGCCAGGGAAGGAACATAGATCGCTACTTTCCTACCCCCCACCTATGTTCACGAGCTTTGGGTAGTGAACGAAAGAAGATACAAGCGGCCGAAATGTGTTTTCTCCGCAGGGTGGCTGGGCTCTCCCTTAGAGACAGGGTGAGAAGCTCAGTCATCCGGGAAGGGCTCAAAGTAGACCCGCTGCTCCTACCCATCGAGGGGAGCCAGTTGAGGTGGCTCTGGTATCTAATTAGGATGCCTCCTGGATGCCTCCCTCGTGAGGTTTTCCAGGCACATCCAACCAGGAGAAGGCCTAAAGGAAGACCTAGACACGCTGGAGGGCTGGCCAGGGAACACCTTGGGATTCTCCCAGAGGAGCTAGCCCAAGTGGCTGGGGAAAGGGAAGTCTGGGCCTCCTAGGCTACTGCCCCACCGACCGACAATGGATAAGAAGCCAAAATTAATGAATGGATGGATGGATGGCAACACTGAGCGGAGAACCTCACACCAGTGGTGTTCTTTAACACAATGGAGGACCCAGGGAAGTACGGGCATTCGGTGGATTTCATGCTGGTTCGCAAACTTAAGTAAGAAAGTAGTAAGTAAGTAAATTTTATTAATATAGCACTTATCACAAAGAGAAAATCACAAAGTGCTTCACATAGATCAAAGCAAAACAAATCATAATGATCTTAAAACAGAAATAGATTAAAATCAGAAACATTCAGTAATTAAATTATGAAATACCATAAAGCAAATGAAAGATGATTACAAATTTGAGGTAAAAAATAAGAAGATAAAATATTTAAGTAAAAGCAGCTTTAAATAAAAGGGTCTTCAGCAGTTTTTTAAAAAGCATCCAGACTGTCAATGCTACATAAGGATAAAGGAAGTTCATTCAAAACTTGGGTTGCAACAGTCTGGAAGGAGCGATCACCTCAACTTTTATATCTGGTCTTTGGAATTTCTAGAAGGTTCTGGTGTGTGGACCTGAGGGCTCAGTTTGGTGCATAAGGCTTTAACAGTTCAGTAATATAGAGAGGAGCTTGACCATGTAGGGCCCTGAAGGTTATAGTCAGGATTCTAAAATGAACTCTAAAGTTAATGGGTAACCAGTGCAGAGACATTAGAATAGGAGTGATGTGTGCTCTTCTGTTTGCTCCAGTTAGGAGCCTCACTGCAGAGTTCTGGACCAACTGAAGGTGGTCAATGACTTTTTTGTTAAAACGTGAAAGGTGTGTTACAGTAATCTAGATGGGAGGAGATAAAGGCATGGAGAACCATTTCAAGTCCATGTTTTGACACCAACCTTTGCAGTTTGGAGATATTTCTTAAATGATAAAAGCAGTTTTGGACCATTGTTTTTGAGTGACCTTAAAGAGACATTGATTGGTCAAAAACAACACCCAAATTTCTCAAGTTTGACTTGAAGGCAGAAGATAAATGACCAAGTTGTTGACTAATCAGAGAAATCATGCTCTCAGGGGAAATTATCAGACATTCAGTCTTTTCAGAGTTTAACTGAAGGAAGTTATCTTCTAGCCATCTGGTGATAGCTGATAGACACTGCAGTAATTCAGACAGTTTATAGAACTCCTTAAAGGAATAGTACAGCTGAATGTCATCTGCATATAGGTGATAAGAGACATTATGAAAACAATCAAACATGTACATCTGTGGTTGCAAAAGCAGGTGTTTTTGGGGTTGCCTTTCCACCTTTTAGAGGAAGCTTAAAGCTATCCTTTGTCAAAGTCGACCCTAGTCTAAAACGACGCCTGTGATTCCTTTATGTTAAGTAATATTTTCACTTGCAGTCTGCATGATTATTTAGGCCACCAAGCAGAATTGGGATCACTATTGAGTGATTTTAAGGACTTCTTTTATTCACAATGCTAGTTGGATCCGTTCACTTACTGTGCTTTATGCTAAGCTAAAGCTAAATGACTAAAGCCAGGTCAGGAAAATGACTGTGCTGGTTAAAAATTGTTTTTTCCCACTTATCTAACTCTGGGAAATATGTCAACAGACAAAATTTCAATTTTGGGTGGGATATCCCTTTAAGTCCTGGAGCAACAAAGCCAGGTCACCATCAGTCTGAGATTTCATAGTCTCTGAGCTTTAAATTTAGACCATCATTTGCCAAAGCAAAATTGATGGTCTAGCAATGCTCCATTAGAACCTCACAGCCCCAGCCAGTATTGTGGCTGGCCAATCACAGTACATTTATTTAGAAAAACTGTGTTTTTTAATGTTTTATGTAGTTCTTCCACAATGTAATGACGGACTGCCCCATTGGCCGACATCCATAGCAGAAAAAAACCACTGCCCTCTAATTGTTTGGTGGGTCAATCACAGCACTTTGTTGGTGGGTGGGATGTTACTGAAAAAACAAAGATGGTGACTGCTCGTTAGAAATTGCTTTGGTACTAACTTTGTTTTTAGTCAAGTACAGATAGAGGTACTTCAGTATATTTAGAAAAAGTATTTATTTGCATATTCTTTGACTAAGTATGGTGGGCTGCCTTGTTGAATGACGTCCATTGCGGTGAGAACCACATGCTGTTTGTTATCCAAAACCATGCGGAGAGTTTGAAAGACTGCCCCTCTACAGAGCCGTCAATGGACCATGGCCAGGCTATATGTCCACATATATAAGATGGCTTTCCAGGCTAATAGCCTCCTTCAGCTCCCTCAAATGAGTGTAGGCCCCGACGATGTTCCCTCTGGTTTTAACTCTTTTCTTCGCCTCCAAAGGCATTATTTTCTTACTTTGACTTCCAGGCTCCACCTGATGCCAATAAAAAAAAAGCTAATTTCTTCTTCTTGGGCTTTTTCTTTACTGCTGACAAACTGGAAAAGCTAACAGCTAGCTTTTATGTGGGAGGGAAGGGAATGTTTATCATCATTCATCATTTAGAGCTGCTTCAGGTAAAAGTTCAAGCATAAAAGGTCAGCTGATTCTGTCATGTGACCATAACCTGAGTGTGTACAGAACCGTAACACAGCTTCACCTGTGTTTCACCTCCCAGAGTCCACTGCAGTTTGTAGGCCAGAAGTTTTCCCTGAAGTTCCTCCTCCTGAAGCTTTGCCCACTGCACAGACAGCTGTTGCTCTGAGAGGTCAAAGGTCAGGTTCTTGGGGGCAACAGAGGGCACTGTAATCAGGATTAGATCACATAATTACATCATCAGTAAAAAAAAAACATCTCTAGTTATTTTATTTAGTTGATTTTAGTATTGGAATTAGTATTTTATTTTTTTTCAGGGGTTCTGCTGACATGCTGAATGGTTCTGACCCACTTTCAGCTTCGGACCATCTTTTATGTCAGCTAGAACTGAAAGTGGGTCAGAACCAGCTAACAGTCGTAGTTCAGGGTTCCTGCAGGTGGTGCTGAAGATACGGCTGACTTCCTGCCAGATGGATTGAAGCCACTAACAAAAGCTCATTGTACAGAGGGGCCTGGAATCTACTGGACCTGGTCCAACTTGACTGGCACTCTCACACACTCACACTATTAAAGCTCAGCGGGAGGCAGGGTCCAGCAGCTCTTCTGTTTACTGATGAAACACTGAAATCAGCTGATGACCCATTCGCCTGCTCCAACCTGACAAACTACTCTCAATGGAAGCAGAGCAGGAGTCCAACAGAACCACTTCTGTCATCAGAGAACATCTAAATAAACACCACAAACCTCCTCACCTGACTCAGGTGTGACGAAGTGCAGCAATGAGGAGAAAGGTGACGGTCCCACCTCGTTGGAACAGGAAACCCTCACACTGTAGTTGGAGTAGCTGCTCAGACCAGTGAGAACGTGGAGGTGAGGAGGTACCTGCACTTCGTGTTTAGAGAGAGGTCCCTTCCGGAGCCTCACCACCTAAAGAGGTGCAGTATTGCTCAAAAAACGTGTGTGTGTGTGTGTGGTGTGTGTGTGTGTGTGTGTGTGTGTGTGTGGTGTGTGTGTGTGTGTGTGTGTGTGTGTGTGTGTGTGTGTGTGTGTGTGTGTGTGTGTTACCTGAATGATGCAGGTGGAAAGCTCAGAGTGACCTGTGAATCCTGGTATCCATGACAACGTGATGTTGTGAGACATCCTGAGAATCTGCAGGCTGACTGGAGCTGCTGGCAGCACTGGGCACATAGATGGGCCAATCAGAGCCCAGGAGCCTCAAGGATCTGCAGGATCCAATTGGAGGACTCACCTTTTATGTGAGCTGTTCCAGTTCTAGATACAGAGATTCCTCTGGTGTTCTTTGCCTCACAGTAGAACTTAATGCTGCTGTTCACACCTGGGTGTATGCACACACACACACACACACACACACACACACACACACACACACACACACACACACACACACACACACACACACACACACACACACACACACACACACACACACACACACACACACACCACACACACCACACACCACACACACACACACACACACATTATTTATGAGCATTAATTCATGTACACATACAGTGTCTTGCTAAAGTAATATTATCTCTCAAATGTTTACACATTGTGAGACCTTGTAACCATAAACCTAAATGTTTTGATTGAGACTTTCTGTGACGGACCAACACAAAGTAGCACATAGTTGGGAAGTGAAATGAAATGGATACATGATTTTCAACATTTTAATCACATAAAACTCTGAAATGTGGGCATGTTTTTTTTTTACATCAATACTGTAGAGCCACCTTTCACTGTAATTACATCTGCAAGTCGTTGGGGTACGTCTCAACCAGCTTCACCCACACAGTGTCAGAAATGTTTGCCTGTTCCTCACAGCAAAGCAGCTCAAGCTCACCCAGGTTAGATGGAGAGTCGGTAAGCAGCAGATTTCAAGTCTGTTTGTTCTGCTTTGCTGCTGGCTGTTCATGACACCAGCCCTCAATGTGACGGCACACCTCCCATTCGCCCGTTGTCCCACCGGGGTGGGGGGTGCACACATGGTTCGGGGGTCACATAGAGGGGGCCCGAGGGCCATGTGGCTGCCTATTGAGGACCACTGCTTTAGCCTAACAAACGACTAATATTAATTAGGGTTGTGACTTTATTGCGTTAATTGATTAATTAGAAAAAAATGATGCGTTAAAAAATTTACGCATTTCATCGCACTTATTTAAGCACTGGGGAACGTCTCTCACGAGTTTCAGCGGACCGATTATACTGGAGCACCAACCAGCGTTCATTGTTCATTTCAGACAACAAACCACAGTGAACATGAATGAAGATGCGACCACTTTGGTTGGCCCTTTGGATGGGAACTTTTGTTATAAAAACGACTGGATGGAAGCGTCGATAAGAGCACAGTTGTGTGCAAGCTATGCAGCAAGGAATTTGTATATCACCGCAGCACATCGAGCCTGAAGTATCACCTCAATGCTAAACATATAGCAGCTAGCGTGGACGTTCTGCCGACTCCGAATACAAGTACCCTCACCCAACCCACATTCCACCAGGTGACTGGTTTAAGGACCAAGGTAACGAAGTCCACGTCTGAAAAAATAACCTACGGCCTGGCTCACTGGATTGCACTCGACTGTCGACCACTTGAAGTTGTAGAAGATACGGGCCTGCAAAATGTGCTACAGATTGCGTCGTCCGACACAACATTTGAGCTGCCATGCAAAAAGACAGTGACAAAAAGAGTCCAGCAGCTTTATGACAATGAAAGGCAAGATAACAAGAATGTATTGAAGAAAGCAGAGTATGTTGCCATAATTGGTATTTTAGCCTTCACCCAGAGACCTGCCCACTACACTCTGCTAAGCAGAAGTGACCTTTGGATTAAATCCAGTGCTCATGGGTCTGAGTCAGAGCTAGAACTTGTGTCAGCATGTAGTAAAAAAAGCGATACTGGAACAAGCACAGAAACTGAACCACGTCTGACTTGGTTTTTGACATAAAAACTGTGCAACAATCATCAGAAAGGTCTAAAATCTTCTATCGGTTATTTTTAATTTTTTACCACCAACCTCTCAGAGAAAACAGATGAAAATTAGTGTGTGGCTAAAAATCTGGTTTGAATGATGACATCATTACTTCAAACTAAAACAGTCCTAAAGGAATAAAAATATTTGTGAAGAAGAAACCAGTCAGTCACTCTGTTTCTGTCTCGGGTTGTCAGTCTGCTTTTCATACAATGTTTCCTTATCTGTTTTCTGTGCAGGTACACAGGTCCACAGGTATGCAAGTATACAGTAGCACGAGTATACAGTTGTATAGGTTTATGGGTTTATGAAACCAGCTGAGTGACGAGTGGTGCTGAGCAGCAGTTATCAATCATAATGGTTGTGATTGGACCTGATTAACGTCATTTTGAACATTTTGAAGAGCAAAATTAAATTTCAAATGGGTTTCTTTTACTTTGAAAAACCTTTCAATTCTAAGCAACACAATGAGACATGGATTGTTTCTCAATGTCAAGGCACCTGGCCTTGCGAGGCGATATATTGCGAGGCCAGACGCCTTGCTTGCAAGGACACTGCCCTTCCTTGGTCAAAGGAAATGGTTAAATGGAACAGACTTGCATCATGTGGCCACGGCTTCCATGGCGGTCACATATCATCACAGGACACGGGAGACGTTATATTTTATATGTATTAGTTTCAATATAAATATATAAAGAGCCTTTTACTTTTTAAATCGTGTAAATGTTTATTAAATTAAAAACATAAGCGAGTTACTACCCGCTAGCCATCGAAGCTGCAACTACTAAGCAACTAACCAACAATAGATAACTTCTTTGGATCTAAAAAAAAACATTTTAAATTAGCTGACTTACTTTTAAAGTTGAAAATTGTCCCCGAAGTAGCTGCCGGCTTCTGATCTGCCGTCCTTTTGAAAATACCGCTGTGTATTGTGGGTAATTTTTGACCAAGGCTAGGCTACAAGACACCTCCCGTGTTTCCTTGCTCAGCTAGTTAAGCGCTAACAAAAGGAGAACACACGCCTCGGTAGAACATGAACAGTGGAACCGATTGGAACACGTCTTGGGGCTCCCGATGACGTATCTCCTAGGCAACCAGGACAGGGCCAAGACATCTAGGCAAGGTTCCTTGGCATTGAGAAACGCCCATGAACTATTTGGGTCCTAAACTCAGCCTTCTAACTGACCTGGGACATAGAGGACAGAGGGGGAGGCCTGGGGTTCTCCCTCCTGGACTCCTCCCAGCCACCACAATACCTCCACAGGTTCTGGGGGACCAACAGCAGAGCAGGATAGGTTGAAGGGAACATTAGGGAATGTTGCTACATCCTGAGGTTCCTCTAGGAAGTGAGGGACTCCTGAGAGAGCGACAGACAGAAAACAGGAATGAGGAGGATCAAGTGAGACCAACAAGGACAAAGGTCCCAGCAAACCCACAATAACAGGCGTATTCATGGTCTCACCTTCAACTGTGATCCAGGCTCGTTCAGAGGAGAAAGTCTGATTGTGAAGTTCTACCTCGCACCAGTACTGACCCGCATCCTGCTGCTGGACCGACCTCACACTAGAACCCCAACACAAAACCTCAGAAAACCGGGACAGACTAAACCACACGGACAGGGTGGACAGAAAAATTATTGCATATTTACAGTGTTAATCTTCATGATTTTCCTGTTTAAATCGTTGGTTGTTATGATAAAATATTTCATTGCATACATTTGGACACCACAAAAATAGAAATGAACTCAATTTTTAGATCCTCCCCCGGCGCAGCTTCAGCTTTGTCACCGATTCCTGGACATTGGTCTCCAGAATTTGCTGATATTGAGGGGAATCTACAGGCCGACCAATATGTTTTTTTAAGGCAGATGCCGATTAACAAATTTTGTTGCAGATGGCCGATATCTAAAGCTGATTATTAAGGCCAATTGGTCCCCTTAAATACTCTCTCATAACTGGGTTCACCTGTGTATGAAGGTCAAGGGTCACAGAGTTTACCAAAACATGTGTCATGACTTGCGGGAGGTGTCTAACCCAAGACATGCAGAATAAACACGACAACTCGGGGTAAGTAAAAATAAAGTATTTTATTATGAAAACAGGAACTAAAGATGCACTAGTAAAACCAGTGAGTAGTGTGCCATAAGGCGTTAGTCCAGAGTTCAAATTCCGCAGACAGCGGGGAAGGTGGCGAGCCAAGGTGAGTAAGAACAGGGGTCCAGTTGAGTGAGGTGGGTGAGGAAGCGGAGAGGGGAAGGGCAGGAGCCGTGGAGGAGGATGGGACGTAGTCCTGAAGATCCGGGGTTCTAGCGGCGAATGTAGTGGGCACGGTAGTGGGTTCCTAAACAGGGCAAAGCAGACAGGGGTTCAGAGGCGAGTCCAAAGTCATAATCCTACAACAATCCAAGGTCAGAGATCCAAATAATCCAATCACGAATACACAAGCGAGCAAACAGGCGAATACGAGTGGCAGGGGCTAACCAAAACTGTAGCAATCATCCGGCATCGAGTAGTGTCTCCATCCTCCCTTTATACCAGAGCCTCTGATTGCGAATCCAGCTCAGCTGGTGTCCCCTCCGCTCCTCACCTGTGGAAAAGAACCTCAAAGATGGTTTATGGAGGAAGAGCTCTCACCTCGGCCCGTGAATCATGACCCCCCCCCAACGGACGCCACACGGCGTCCCAGCAGCGGACCTGGAGGCCTCGAAGTCAGTGACGAGGGAGGGGTCTTCAACGAATGACCAAGGAATCCACAAACGTTCCTCCAGAACTTACCCCTCCCAGTCCACCAGATATTGCACCCCACGTCCCCGGGGACGTGAGTCAAGAATCCGCTGAACCTTGTAGACCAGGCCCCCTTTATAGGGCCAGGGTCGGATACAGAGAGCTGGTGACCACGAGCTTGACCAAGGACGCATGGAACGTGGGATGGATCCTGAGGGACCGCGGGAAGTCCAGGTGGACGGTCACAGGACTGGGGATGGCCGCAACCTTAAAAGGGCCAAGGAACCTAGGAATGAACTTCCTAGATGTGGCCTTGAGGGACACATCATTGGACGACAGCCAGACCATATGTCCAGGAGTGCAGACAGGTGCTGGGCGATGATGCCGGTCCACCAACCACTGGTTCTTCTCAGCAATATGCTGATGAGCGGCCCTAGTGGCGGCCCAGGCACGACGGGCCCGGCGGAGAAACTGTGGAGTGGTGGTGGTTGGGTCAGACTGGAGAGGAAACAAAGAGGGCTGGTAACCAAGGGAGGCCTCGAAGGGGGACTGACCTGTACCTGAGGACACGAGGCTGTTGTGGGCGTACTCCACCCAGGCAAGGTGGTCACTCCAGGAGGCGGGATTGGTAGTGCACACACAGCGTAGCATGGCACCCAGCTCCTGATTCATGCGCTCGCATTGACCGTTCGTCTGCAGGTGGAAACTTGAGGTCAATGACACACGGGCCCCCAGAGCGGCGGCAAATTCCTTCCAGACCCTGGAAACTAACTGGGGACTGCAGTCCGAGATGATCTCCCTGGGAAATAATATGAAGATGGAACACAAGCTTTATCAGGAGCTGGACTGTGATAGCAAAGGAAGAGCCTCTAGGGGAAGTAGGTGGCAAGCCTTGGAGAACCTGTCGACGGAACACAGCCTCAGCTTCTGGAGACTAAGAAAAAGGTTTAGCGACAGACGTGAGACATGTTAGTGGAGCGGCCGTCTGGCTATAGTTGCGGATGAACCGCCGATAAAAATTGGCAAAAACCAGGAATCGTTGCAACTGCTTCTGGGTTGTAGGTGTGGGCCAATCTGTAACGGCCTGAACTTTGTCAGGGTCTGCCTTTAACCGCCCACTCTCCAGAACGAAAGCTAAAAACTTGACAACAGGAACATGGAACTCACATTTCTCAGCCTTTACATACAGTCTGTTCTCCAAAAGGCGGTGGAGAACGGCTCTGACGTGCTTCTGGTGTTGGGTGACTGACCTGGAAAAAATCTAAATGTCGTCTAGGTAGACAGTTACAAAGTCATTGATATAGTCACCAAGTACAGAGTTGACCAGCCTTTGGAACACAGTCCAAAAGGCATCACTAAATATTCAAAATGCCCCAGCGGTGTCTTGAAGGCTGTCTTCCATTCGTCCCCTTGGCAGACCCTAACCAAATAGTAGGCGTTCCGAAGACCCAATCGGGTGAAGACAGTTGAATCCTGGATGGGCTCGAACGTGGAAGACAGTGGTGGGAGAGGGTACTTGTCTTTAACGGTGATCTGGTTAAGACCCGGATAATCGATGCAGGGGCGGAGAGACCCGTCCTTCTTGACGACAAAGAAGAAACCGGCGCCCAAGGGAGACGTTGAGGGTCTGATGGTTCCGTTGGCCAAGGCCTCTGTGATGTAGGTCTCCATGCTGTCCCTCTCCGGTTTAGAGAGACTGTAGAGGCAGCTGGACGGAAGCGAGGTACCGGGTAGCAGGTTGATACCACAGTCGAAGGGGCGGTGAGGGGGCAGCGTGGCTGCTCGGTCCTTGCTGAAAACCTGTTGTAGATCATGGTAGATTGGGGTACCTTAATGAGATCGGGAGGCTCAACAGGAGCCATGTCGAATTCTTTAGAAACAGGAAGTGCTGAGCTGAGGCACTTCTGGTAGCACTCCGGGCTCCAGGCCTCGACTCTGTTGGCTCGCCAATCCAGGTGCAGGTTATGTTGTGTAAGCCATGAATGTCCTAGTACCACCGGATTCTGAGGAGATGGGAACACAATGAGTGAGATCGTCTCATTGTGGTTACCTGAGGCTTGGAGCTGGAGCGGCGTAGTCCTGTGGGTGATGGTGGATAACGTTCTCCCGTCGAGTGAGGAAACAAGCATGAGTTCAGGGAGAGAAACGGTAGAGACTCCCCAGTCACAGACTAATCGGGGATCAATAAGTGATAGTTCACATCCCGAGTCCACAAGAGTTGTGACCTGGTGGCGTTGACCGTCCCACATAACTGAACAGGAGAGGATGAACTGGGAGGTTGTACCTCCTGTGTTACTACCCACCAGAACTCCCGTTTCTACTGGTGGGCTCTGCCTTTTAACAACACTGGGCACGTCTGGACATAGTGTCCTGGTTGTCCACAGTATAGGCAAAGACCCTTACTGATGCGATGACGTCGTTCCTCCTGGGTGAGGTGAGTCCTTCCCAGCTGCAAAGGTTCCTCTGAAGGCTCTGAAGGAGGAGGAGATCTTGGGATGGGCTGTCGGTGTATGGGGGTGAAGAAGGATCCATCGAAGTCCACAGAAGCTCCCGATGTCTCTTGTCAATGGAGATGGAGAGTGTTATTAAACCCTCCAGGGTAGATGGCTCGGGACACAGAGCCAACTGATTCTTCACCTTGTCGTTCAGGGCTTCAATAAAAGCTGCTTTTAAGGCGTCATTATTCCATGTTGTCATGGCTGCCAAAGTCCTGAATTCTAGTGACATATCTGCCACCGTTCTCCGTAACTGGCAGAGGTGTAACAGTTTCTTACGAATGTCCGTGGTGATCTCAGAACTGCAGAAGGTCAGTTTAAAATCGTCCAAAAATTCTGCATAGGGACCTGATAAAAACTCGGCATTGCGACTCTTAGCCTCAGCCCATCTAAGAGCTTTACCTCTCAACAGTCCAACAATAAAAGAAATCTTAGAGTCTGTAACAAAGGCGCTTGGGGAGTGCTCAAAAGCCAGGCGACACTGTAACAAAAATCCATAACAGCCCTTGAACTCACCAGAGAAGATATAGCGGAGGAAAAGCTAGGCGGAAGTGGGTGACTTCCGTAGGACCCGGAACTTCCGGTCCGGGCTGACCCATTATTCCAGGGGCGAGTGGCGTTGGTTCCGGGGTAGGTTCCGGGACCTGAGCTGGAGGCAATAATCGATCGTGGAGTTGTTGGGCCAACGCCTCCAATTGCTGGTAACGCTGATTGGCGACTGCCAGCTGTTCCATGAGTACGGGAAGTGTCTGTTCCTGCTGGGACATCCGGGTAGCCAGGTCGGCCAATAGTGATTCTGCTGGGCTAGTGTTTTGGCCGGATGATTCTGTCATGACTTGCGGGAGGTGTCTAAACCCAAGACATGCAGAATCAACATGACAACTCAGGGTAAGTAAAAATAAAGTATTTAATTATTAGAGTTCAAGTTCCGTAAACAGCTGGAAAGGTGGTGAGCCGAGGTGAGCAAGGACGGGGGTCCAGTTGAGTGAGGTGGGTGAGGAAGCAGAGAGGGAAAGGGCAGGAGTCATGGAGGAGGATGGGACATAGTCCTGAAGATCCGGGGTTCTAGCAGCGAAGGCAGTGGGTTCCCAAACAGGGCAAAGCAGACGGGTTCAGAGGCGAGTCCAAAGTCATAATCCAAAAACAATCCAAGGTCAGAGATCCAAATAATCCAATCACGAATACACAAGCGAGCAAACAGGCGAATACGAGTGGCAGGGGCTAACCAAAACTGTAGCAATCATCTGGCGTCAAGTGGTGTCTCCATCCTCCTTTTATACCAGAGCTTCTGATTGCGAATCCAGCTCAGCTGGTGTCCCCTCCGCTCCTCACCTGTGGAAAAGAACCTCAAAGATGGTTTATTGAGGAAGAGCACTCACTTCGGCTCGTGAACCATGACAACATGTTGCTTCTCAGTGCAGCAGCAGATCATCAGAAAGCTAACAACTATTTATAACCAAGTTGTTGGACCATCTCCATTTTGTTCTAAAGCAGCTGTTCATTATATTGAGTTCAGTTCCTCTGGTTGTCTTTTATTCTAGCGGTTAGCTAAATGCAGCTAAACATGCTAACGCTTCAGCTTTGACTAATTTACCTGCTGTATGCTTTACCCGAGCACAATGCTGACGCCGTGAGGGTTCACCAACACTACACTCTACACTGCTGCAACTCTGCTACAGAGCTGGTTGTTGTTTCCTGAATATTCTGCTACAAAGTGGTATCAGTTCAGTGACATCAGAAAACATTAACCAGTACGAGTACACAGACATGGTATCGAACCAATACCCTGTGCTGGTATCAGTACCAGTGCAGATAACTTCACTATTTAAAAATAAACAAAAACGCACTTGTAGCTCACTCTTGTCCTCCTGGGAGGTGTTCAGGTGTGATGTTTGGTTGTCACTAAATGTAATAAATCAGAAATGTGATGAAGGAGCCTCAGACCAAGGTCGGGCTGCTCCTGCAGCAGTCTCCCTGGGGTTTAGATCACCTCCTTCTTCCAGGGGGTCTGTGGCCCCTCACACGAACTATGGGACACTCCTAAAGAGAAACCTTTCATATACAAGTGTGTGTACCCACGCAGGTGCTCACATGGTGACTCGAGTGTTTTTGACACAACCTTGGGCTGTGGTTGGCACTAAACACACCATGAATTATTACTGTGTGCTTTTCAATAAAAAAATGTTACAGTCATATATCCTTATGTGATATCTTGGTTCTATTGTATTTTTGTCTCTTTCTGCAGGTCTAGAAGAGGATTCTTGTACAGCCTTTATTTTTGTTTACTTCATCTTGAAGCCTTAAAACTCCTCAGTATTTACAGTGGGAAAACGTGCCTCAGTAATGGCTGTGAGTGGAATATGATGGAACCTGGATCATGAACCCAACTGTTGTGAAACCCTGGCTGAAGATCTGGTGGTTTAGTGTGGGTGTTGTTGTACCTGTAGGAGGTCTCCCAGTGCTGTTCTCCCAGAGTGAGGAAGAGCTGGTCGGTGCTGTAGAGCTTCTCTCCATCTTTAATCCAGATGATGTCCGGCTCACTCATCCCCTCCACGGCACAGCCCAGCCTCACTTTGTTCCCCTGAGACGCTGTCTGGTTCACTGGTTGTTTGGTGAACACCACGCCTGCAAGAGGACTTAACACAATCTAAACATGTTCCAGACGTGTTCTAAACTTCAACACCATGTACAGTACAGCATGTTCTGATAAGTTCAGTTCAGTTCAGTTCAGTACAGTTCACTTTATTTCAAACATATCCATTCACCAACATTTCATAAAAATCATTCCACGCAATTGTTTGAAAAGGAGTAGGGAGAAGTGTATACTTATTTAGCCCTACCCCCTCAGGTTTACATCCTCATCATCAAAATGTAAACAACAAAACAGTTACAATGCCTTCAAAAAAAAAAACCAAAAAAAAAAAAAAAAAAAAAAGCTATAATAATAAATAAATTAAATTCTCATGTTCAACTAGAACTATATTTAGATTTTCTAATTTGTAGAAGAGATTAAACATCAGTTTGCATGCCGTCCTGGGTTAATTGCATTTTCTTCAGTCTTATACTTATTTAACATTTCTTTTTTGAGTTTTATTTTAAACTGGTTTACATTACTACTATCCTTTATTTCTTCTGTTAACTCATTCCAGAATTTAACGCCCGCTATTGAAATAGACATCCTTTTCAATGTTGTTCTTACTCTTTGTACTTTTAAATTCCACTTCCCTCTAAAATTATACCTCCCTTCTCTTTCTAAGAACCATTTACTTATTTGAATTGGGAGCATCCCTTTCCTTACCTTATATATTATTTGCACAGTTTTAAACTTGACCAGGTCCTGGAATTTTAAAGCTTGCGTCTTTATAAAGAGTGCGTTTGTGTGAGCCCTATACCCCTCCTGATTTATTAGTCTAATAGCCCTTTTCTGCATTATGATTATAGTCTGAATATTACTTTTATATGTGTTTCCCCAAACTTCTACACAATAACTCATGTATGGTAATATGAAAGCACAATATAACATATATAATGTTTTCCTATCCAGAAAATGTTTCACTTTCCCCAAGACAGCAATGCCCCGTGCTAACTTTCCCCTCACATAAGTGATGTGTGATTTCCAACAGGCCTTATGATCAATGATCACACCAAGAAATTTTATGGTATTAACCCTTTCTAGATATACATTATCAACACAAATTTCAATGTTAATATCTTTCTTATGGTTTCCGAATAACATAAATTTTGTTTTATTTAAATTTAAGGACAATTTGTTTCTATCAAACCACGTCTTTAATATCTTTAACTCCTGTGTGATCACCTCCACAACCTGTTGAAATTCCCCACTTGAACAAAGTATATTGGTATCATCTGCAAAAATTACAAACTTTAGGATCTTCGATACTTTACAAATATCATTTATATACATTATAAACAATTTTGGTCTCAATACTGATCCTTGAGGTACTCCACATTCAATATATATCAATTTAGATTTAAACTCATTTATTTGTACATATTGCTGTCGATTCATCACATAGCTTTTTATCCAATCCAATACCACACCCCTAAACCCATATTTCTCCAGTTTGATTATTAAAATTTTGTGGTCAACAGTATCAATTGCTTTTTTTAGATATAGACAAACTCCAAGTGCATACTTCTTGTTATCCATACATTCAGTTATTTCTTCCATTAAATCCATCAATGCCAAAACTGTTGATCTGTTATTTCTAAACCCATACTGGCAATTTGCCAACAGATCATGCTTTTCCACAAAGTTATCAAGTCTTTTTAGAAATAGTTTTTCCAGTATTTTAGAAAACTGGCAGAGTACCGACACTGGTCTATAATTTGTAAAACAATGCTTTTCACCTGATTTATAAATGGGAATAATTTTTGCTACTTTCATTTTTTGTGGAAAACCCCCTTCCTGGAAAGACAAATTAAAAATATATTGTAGCGGTTTTACAATACCATCAATTACTCTCTTTACTGTTAACATATCAATATCATGGAAGTCAGTACTTGTTTTGTTCTTAAGTCCACTGACAATATCATATATCTCCTTCTCTTCCACTGCTCTTAAAAACATTGAACTTGCATTCCTTTCAATGTGTCCTCCAGTCTCCTTTTCTATCATATCAACCTTTATTTCTGCGGCTAGTTTTGGCCCTATATGTACAAAAAAATCATTAAATCCATCTACTACTTCGTTCATTTTACTAATAGTATTTGTCCCTTCCATAAAATACCCAGGGTAGTCATTAGTCCTTGGTGCATTTTTATTATACTATGCAATACATTCCATATCCCTTTCATGCTATCTTTATTATCTTCTAACTTTTTGATGAAGTATTCTTTTTTACTAGTTCTCATTATGTTAGTTAGTTATAAGGCAATGTGTGTGCTCATATTTTACCATAACAGCTGATCTGGATCAGAACATTTAACACACACAACCCACCCCACCCCCCGTAACGGAGAAGCAAGCTGTCCAGAGTTAGAGTGCCAGAGTTAACGCAAAGCCAAGTTGAGGGAAGCCATGTTGAAAAGTGGAAATGCTCCTTAAATTTTCTCTATTAATGTACTGCTGTTTTAAAACACTTTATACCTTGATGTTGTGAACACACACTGTATAAAATTAAAAGAGCATTTTGAGAACAAGTGAGATTTCAACAGTGAAAACCCTCCTGTTGGATGTCCATCCTGATATGGAAAAGGTAATGGAGATTAGATGAATCAACCTCTGTATTTATATAGTGCCTTCCAGAGTCCTACAACCCCCTGAGGCACTTTACAAGACATCAGTCATTCACACACCAGTTGATGAGCTATAGCCACAGCTGTCCTCCACGCACCAGGAGAACTTCAGGACCCAGTGGACCAGAGAAGGGCCTAATAATGGGTTTAGGATATAAATCCTGATGGCCGCAGTTCTTAGACGCATCATCTTGGTGGAGTAGGACTGCCTGTGCATTAGCTGTAGAGTCCAGGTGTCTCTTCATGCTACCAACAGTGGCACTGGCCCAAGTCAGATGCTCAACAACAATGATAATGAATTAGATTTCAATAGTGCTTCTCAAAGACCCATGCACTTTACAGAGATTCATTATTCATTCACTCTCTGGTTATGGAGAATTACATCATAGCCACAGCCATCCTGAGCCAGTCTGACAGAAGCCAGGCTGTCATTCTGCACCATCACTCCCTCTGACTACCACCAACAGTCACCCAAAGGCATGGCAGGTTATGTGTGTTACCCAAGGACACAACAACAGAGTGACTAGGAAGATGCTGGAATTGAACTACCAACCCTCCAGCTGGTTGATCCTCTCAAAATTTTTATGAGCATATATCTGATACTTGTTTATTTCATTTTGGCTGTGTTCTTTTGCTCAAGATTTCCCAAATTTCATCCAGAGTATTAAGTATTTACATTAATAATGGACTTAAGTCATTTTGTTGTTAGGAGTAGTTTACTGTCCTCCTCAGCTGATTCAGTTAAATTTATTTAATTTAGAAATTAACTGTGTATGAATCAAGTCAGCTCAAAGTGCTGTAAAAAGCTACTTATCCCTCTCCATGACCACACCCATCCATCCATCCATCCATCCATTTTCATCCGCTTATCCAGAGTGGGGTCGCGGAGGCAGTAGCCTAAGGCGAGAGGCCCAGACTTCCCTCTCCCAAGCCACTTGGGCCAGCTCCTACGGGGAAATCCCAAGGCGTTCCCTGGCCAGGTGACAGCCATAGTCCCTCCACCTGGGTCCTGGGTCTACCTTTAGGTCTCCTCCCGGTTAGACGTGCCCAGAAAACCTCACCAGGGAGGCGTCCTGACCAGATGCCCGAGCCACCTCAACTGGCTCCTCTCGATGTGGAGGAGCAGCGGGTCTACTCTGAGCCCCTTCCAAATGACCCAGCCACTCTTCGAAGAAAACTCATTTCGGCCGCTTGTATCCGCAATCTCGTTCTTTCGGTCACTACCCAAAGTTCATGACCATAGGTGAGGGTAGGAACGTAGATCGACCGGTAAATCGAGAGCTTTGCCTTCTGACTCAGCTCTCTCTTCACCATGACAGACCGGTACAACGCCTGCATTACTGCAGATGCAGCACCAATCCGCCTATCGATCTCACAATCCAGTTTTCCCTCACTCGTGAACAAGACCCCGAGATCCTTAAACTCCTCCACTTGGAGTAGGACCTCATCCCTGACCCGGAGAAGGCATTCTACCCTTTTTCGAATCACGACCATGGTCTCAGATTTAGAGGAGCTGATTCTCATCCCAGCTGCTTCACACTCGGCTGCGAACCACTCCAGCGAAAGCTGAAGATCACGTTCTGATGAAGCCAACAGGACCACATCATCTGCAAAAAGCAGAGACCTGATCCTCAGGCCACCAAAACGGATGCCCTCCACACCTTGGCTGCACCTAGAAATCCTGTCCATAAAGGTTATGAACAGAATCGGTGACAAAGGGCAGCCTTGGCGGAGTCCAACTCTCACTGGGAACGAGCCTGACTTACTGCTGGCAATGCGGACCAAGCTCTGACACCGGTCATACAGGGACCTAACAGCCCATACTAGAGGGCCTGGTACCCCATACTCCCGGAGTACCCCCCACAGGACCCCCCGAGGGACGTGGTCAAACGCCTTGTCCAAATCCACAAAATATATGTGGACTGGTTGGGCAAATTCCCACGCACCCTCCAGGATTCCCCTAAGGGCATAGAGCTGGTCCAGTGTTCCACGGCCAGGACGAAAACCACATTGCTCCTCCTGAATCTGAGGTTCAACAATCTGACGGACCTTCCTCTCCAGAACCCCTAAAGAGACCTTACCAGGAAGGCTCAGGAGTGTGATCCCCCTGCGGTCCCCCTTTGTAAATAAGGGGACCACCACCCCGGTCTGCCAGTCCAGTGGGACTGCCCCCGATGTCCATGCGATATTGCAGAGCCGATTCAGCCAACACAGCCCCACAACATCCAGAGCCTTAAGGAACTCCGGGCGGATCTCATCCACCCCTGGAGCCTTGCCACAGAAGAGCTTTTTAACCACCTCAGTGACCTCAGCACCAGAGATTTGAGTGGCCAAACCAAAGTCCCCAGACTCTGCTTCCCCACTGGAAGACGTGTCGGTGGGATTGAGGGGGTCTTCGAAGTATTCTGCCCAACGATCCACAAGGTCTTGAGTAGAGGTCAGCAGCACACCGTCCCCACTATAGATAGTGTTGGTAGCACACTGCTTTCCCCCATGAGGCGTCGGATGGTGAACCAGAATCTCCTCGAAGCCGTATGGAAGTCTTGCTCCATGGTCTCACCAAACTCCTCCCATGCCTGGGTTTTTACCATGGCGACCACCCGAGCCGCGTTCCGCTTGGACTGCCGGTACCCTTCAGCTGCCTCTGGAGTGCCACAGGCCAAAAAGACCTGATAGGACTCTTTCTTCAGCTTGACAGCCTCCCTAGCCGCCAGTGTCCACCAGCGGGTTCGGAGGTTGCCTCCACGACAGGCAGCGACGATCCTGCGTCCACAGCTCCAGTCAGCCGCCTCAACAATGGAGGCATGGAACACGGTCCATTCAGACTCAATGTCCCCCGCCTCCCCCGAAACATTTTGGAAGTTCTGTTGGAGGTGGGAATTGACTCTGCCAGACATTCCCAGCAGTGGGAGCAACTCCAGAGTGGTAGAAAGTCCAACCCCTCTCAAGGAAACTGGTTCCAGAGCCAGAGCCATGCGTTGAGGTGAGTCCGACTATATCTAGTCGGAACCTCTCAACCTCACACACCAACTCAGGCTCCTTCCCCACCAGAGAGATGACATTCCATGTGCCAAGGGCCGGCTTCTGTAGCCGAGGATCAGACCACCAAGGTCCCTGCCCTCGACTACCACCTGTCACACACTGCACCCGACCCCTTTGGCCCCTCCCACGAGTGGTGAGTCCATGGGAAGGGGGACCCACGTTCCCTCTTTGGGCTGTGCCTGGCCGGGCTCCATGGGTGAAAGCCTGGCCACCAGGTGCTCGCCAACGTGCCCCACCTCCAGGCCTGGCTCCAGAGGGGTGCCCCAGTGACCCACGTCCGGGTGAGGGAACACGGTTTCCATTTATATAATTCATCATAAAAGGTCTTCCATGACCACACCTGGTTACAATAAAGGCTGGAGCGCTAAAACACTGATCTGTTTTAATGTTGTGATGACAGTACAGGGTGGGCCATTTATATAGATACACCTTAATAAAATGGGAATGGTTGGTGATAAAAACGTCCTGTTTGCGGCTCATTAGTATATGTGAGGGTCCAAACTTTTCAAGATGGGTGGTGAGCATGGAGGCCATTTTGAAGTTGGCCATCTTGGATCCAACTTTTGTTTTTTTTTTTCAATAGGAAGAGGGTCATGTGACACATCAAACTTATTGGTAATTTCACAAGAAAAACAATGGTGTGCTTGGTTTGCACATAACTTTATTCTTTCATTAGTTATTTACAAGTTTCTCTTTATTCACAGCCATTGACATGTCGAAGAGGTTAACACGTGAGGAGCGGATCGAAATTGTGTTGATATCTGGTGAATGCAGTAACCGGGTCCTTGCAGTAGATTTCAATGCAAGACACCCTATAAGAACACCCATCTCCCATGCTACAGTTAGCAAACTGCTTGCTAAGTTTTGTGAAACTGGTTCAGTGTTGAATTTGCCAAAATGTGGACGCATGAAAACTGTAACTAATGAAAAAACATCAGTGGCTGTCCTAGCTTCATTCAGCAAGAGCCCACAGCGTAGCACTCGCCGCATGTCACTGGAGAGTGGCATTAGTCAAACTTCCCTTTGGTGGATATTAGCTAATCACAAATGGCAACCTTACAAACTCCAGCTACTGCAGCATCTCAATGTGGATGAGCCAGATCGGCGCACAGAATTTGCAGAATGGGCAAAACAAAAATTGGAACAGGGCCCTCAGTTCACGCAGAAGATTTTGTTCAGGGATGAGGCAAACTTTTATGTGAATGGTGAAGTTAACAAACAAAACTACCACTATTGCTCTGACACTAACCCACATTGGATAGATCCCTCCAAGACTGTTGGAACAAAAAAGTGATGGTATGGTGTGGTATATGGGGTACAAAGATAGTGGGGCCATTCTTCATGAATGGAAACATCAAGGCCACTGGATATTTGAAATTGCTACATGATGATGTGTTTCCCTCTTTATGCACTGAAGCTGGCACATTCCCTGAGTTTTTCCAGCAAGATGGTAGACCACCACATTATGGGTGTCAGCTCTAAGCATTCCTAGATGAACAGTTTCCTGGAAAGTGGAGTGGTCATCATGGGCCAGTTGAATGGCACCCAAGGTCTCCCGATTAGGGTCATCTGAAGGCAATTGTGTATGGTGTGAAGATACGAGATGTGCATTACCACCATCTTGAAAATTTTGCCCCCTCACATAACTAATGTGCCACAAGCAGGACATTAATATCACCAACCATTCCCATTTTATTAAAGTGTATCCATATAAATGGCCCACACTGTACACTAGTTCCAGTACATATGTTAAGTCCCGCCCCCTCACTTTAAAAAAAAATAGAGAGCTCAGTTACGCCCGGAAGAACGGGAAAATGAATACAAGTCAATTGGCTAAAATGCTATTTTCTGATTCTGTTAATGTGCCGTGGATTTCACATATGATATCCGTGAATTTTAAAGACGTATTTTGATACCAAGAACGCATCTATTTTCAAACCGGCGGAAATGTTATTTTACGTTTTGTGTGAAAATAAGTCCAGGACTACAAATGCGCATCACCAAAGTGACGTCATCAAACCAGACACAGAGAAAAATGAGGAAAAATGGCTGTGAATTCTGTGAACTTCAAATCCGTCCTTCAGGAGGAACAAAACACCATAAATCTGGCCGTGTGGTAACTAGCAGCTACGCTAGAGGAGAGGCGATTCTGTGGTGACATCATACATGTGAGGTGCCGATATCTAATTTGTAGTCATACTAATTACAAACATTTACAAGCTGAAAAATCTCTGGCGTGGTCGAAACATATCATTAGTTTTCATTTAAATTGCAGTACAACATATGTGCGATCCAGGGCATAAGGCAAAACGGATTAGAAATGAGCTCTTTTAACCGCGTTGACTTGCATTTATTTTTTGTTCTTCCGGGACCCATGAGCCAACTGGAAAGGGAGGGAGGGTTTCACACTGGAAGCATCAGCGGCACGAAACGGCAGCGGAACGTTAACTTTAACGCGGTCCTTTTCACACCGGGAGAGTCTTGGCAGCTGCACGGCTTCCTCGCTGTGCTCTCCGCTGGACTCACAAGATCACACGATCCCTCGAGACTTCAGGTCACAGTTTGTCTATGCAATCCACCATTAAACCAAAACGAAAAAAATCACGTTTGATATTGCTGTTTGATGTCGTATGTGATGTTGTTCCTCTCCACTGCCAGGAATAAAGCCATGAAAAAAACCACAGCTGCACTTCTGGAACGATGCCAAGTAAATAAGCCGCTGGGTCCCACGTAAGCTTAATATATATGAAATTGCATTGCTGCAGAACTTTTATTTTGAAATTTACCAGTGATTTTACACTGAAATTGTGTGCGATTTCCTGTCTAGCCCCATGTTAACTGCAGAAATCGACGAATCCCAGAAGCTGCACGCTGCAAAAATAAAACCTGATCCTATCTTTGCGGTGCGGCATGCTGCTTCTGGGACGCGCCTGGACGCGTCGCTGCTGGTTTGAAACCCTCCATAGACTATAATTCATTATATTTGAAGCAGTGACATTCCGCTACTGTTCCGCACCTCCGATGCTTTCGGTGTGAAACTGGGGTGAGGCTCCCGATTGGACATTGTCCTATTTTAGAAAATAGAATGCTTTTTCCAGGTGTTGACATCTGTGTATCCATGTAGTTCACATCAGTTATGACTGGTGCAGATGAGTGGGCGGGGCTTTCGTCCTGGTGAAAAGGAGGAGCTTTCAGCCAGGCTCCTGAAATTGGATCTCATTAATGTGTTTCCACTATAAATGTTCTGGGAAGTTTCTGGGAAGGGGGAAGGTGACAGGAAAAATATACAGGCTCGATCGGCCCTTCCAGCTGATGTGTCTTCATCCAAAATCCAAAAGATGCTCTTAGACTTTGGTTAGGGGATTTCCTCAACCTGCATTTATGATACACAGCTATGTTCTGAATTTCAATTTTTGAGACATATTTACTTTGCAACGTTTGAAACCCACACACGAATATTTACATTTCAACACTTAGATGCAACTTTCATTAGTTTAGAATTGAATTTAGATATTTAGTTTTAACTTCTACATATTTGGCATTATTATTTATGTAAAACAATCAAACAGAGATTTTCTAACCATCTGTGAAAAAGGTTACTTTTAAACACATTTTTTATAATTAGGTGATTAAGGTGTCTAGAAGTTTGAATGCATAATCGCTGCCCCATCGATGTAAAACTTCCAGGCGGATTCAGATTAAAACTGCAGGGTTTTTAACTTGTTTGTAACTTTGTTCAGGTCGCCTGGAACCAGCCAGTACCAGAACTGTATTGCTAGTATTCCCACAACAGCGTTAGAGACTCGCTGTGGTTTAACTGACCTGTTGTTCATGTTATCACAAGTTAGTACTAACTAACTAAAACAGTTCCAGGCTCTGGGGTTCGGTCCGTATACTAGGTTAAGCTTAGCTCCCAGCTAACGCTTACCTTTTCCGCAGGTTCCCACCAAACTCTGGAGAAAACAACCCAATATCCACAACAGCAGCTTCATCTTCTCATGGTGGTTCCGTCCTTCGGTGGGCTGTCCTGACCAGTACTCGGGAGAACAACACGACAGTCGGTTCTATTCGGTCTCAGGCTCCGTTAACGATTTTTACAGAGAGGACAAACAGGTTTTCCAGTGGACCGAAGTGCTTGTTTGGGCTGGAACCGCCAGCGAGGTGGAAGCAGCCTCAAATTCCTACCAGACGGTCAAACAGCACAAGTTTTTAATGTGCGCGTCTACACGAGTTATTACGGTATACTTGCTTGTTCGATGCTTTCAAAATAAAAGGGAGTTTTGCACAGTTGAATAAAGATCAATATTTCTCTCTGTTTTTCAAAATTACGTTCACACATGGAGTAGTTTATCTTCAGATTTGTTAACAAAACAAAATTCCTATTTTGGAACACAAACCCAGCCCAAACAATAAAATAAAGGCACTACCAAATGTTATTTACAAGTTGTTATCCTCATTCAGTTTGAATTCAAGTCCCAAAAATTCAACAAACAACCTAAATTAGGTTTATGAAAAGAAGCTTCATAATAAAAACATATATGTCACATAATCTAAATGTCACACAAAAACATCTTAATTTAGTGCAGATTTTTTAGCAGATAGTTGTCTGTTGGCCAGGAAATATAGTGTCGTCGTTAACAGCAGCTCATGGGTTTTTCCACCAACAAAAATGTTAAGATAATTAGATGTGTTTTCTTTTATCATGCTTTTATTACATTTAAAGATTCTACCATTTATGCTGAACAGTGCTGTACTGTTTGACGTCTCATGAGGAGACTTAAAGAATGCTGGGCCTTGGTCCTGGCCTAATGTGACCCAAGGACATCTGCTGACTTGGACAACTGCTGACTCGTGCAACTATGTGTAGCTCACCGTGTGATTAGACACTGATTAGAAAAACTGAATGTTCATTATGTAATACTGAATGCTCTTTGTGTGAAACTTGTAACAATTACTAAAAACTGAGAGCTGTGATTTTCACCCATCCTTCAGTGTCAGCTCTCAGCCAGGTATCTAGGGACCCTCCCAGCTTGTAATTAATAGAGGATGCTTGGATTTCAAAGGCAGAGTGGTTTGAGGACCTGCCAGTGCAATGGAGACTGTGCTGGTCTGATCTTATTTCCAGTCTCCTCGAGCATAAAACAGAATTCTGACTTTTGTGTCTCTTTTCTTCTTTGTGTATGGTGTCTAGGGGTTTAAACCTGACAAAAAAGGTAAAAAGAAGGTATTTAAGATAAAACCCAAACCTCATAATTATGTGAAGAAAGACATTTCAGAAATCGGAGGGTTGGGTTGTTGGAGAGTTGGGCATTCGGACTCCACTCTCAGTGCCAACATTTGCTTAAGTTGTGTTCAGAAAAAAGAAGTGTTGAGAAAACTAACAGCTGTGATTTGCTCAAACCCAAACTGTCAAGAAACAGCTACAGAGTGAATAATTCAACAGGTTCATCCACACAATAGAGCAGCCAAACGTGGAGTTGTGTATGTGGCTGAGTTAGGAGTGTTCAGAAATTTATGAACGGGTGACCTAACAATAACTATATAAACAGCACAATAGAGCCAGCTCTTCAGACTCAGAACCAGCTTTTCATGTGTGACTCGAACATCCTTAATTAAAGAGCAATGCAAGAATGTGCTAGTAAGTTTAACATCTGCTGAGATAATCTACCATGGTAGCTTGACCGTAGGAGGCTTCTCCGGTGAGTGTAACATCTTTGAGAATCAGTCAAATCTCCTTTTAATCAATTTCTCAGGACTTCTTGGAGAGTACAGATGCTTTTTTCCTCCCCTCCTCCCTATCTTATCCCAAAGCTCTTTATCTATCTTTGGATGTACGGCACTTCTGCATTTTTTCTGGAAACTGGAAATTATTAAAAATGGACCTGGTCAGTTGGTCTCTCAACGCGATTGACAACATTTTTTCAACGATGAGAACGGGAGAAGGGGCTCCTGGGTGCCCCTCTGGGACAGATCCAGTTGGGCATATCATGGACTCCTGGAAACCGTGGAACTTGATCTGCTTATTCCAACTGTCTGTAGATGTCATGAAGAGCAGGAGGTTTGGACCGAAGGTGCAGGAAATCCAGAACGCAGGCAGGAGCGATTGAAAAGTAAAAATCCTTTATTTAGGAGGAGAACCAAAAATCCAAGGGGCGAAGGCAAAAACCCAATAACTAAATTAAGACCAAAATCCAAAAGCTCACCTTCTGAGCAGAGACCTTAAGACTGGAGACAAAACAACGCTGACCAAGAGAATGAACCAACAACCAGAGAGACAAGACAAGGCTTATAAACACAGAGGGAGGTAATTAGGAAAAATGGCAGCAGGTGTGTGGAGTGAGGGCTGGAGGGAAGACAGGTGAATATAATTATCTAAATGGGAAAACAGAAACAGAGGAGGGCAAATAAACCTAAACCTAAAGACAGAGGGAAGGGCTCACACACACACACACACACACACACACACATATACTGAGCTGGGGAACAAGAGGCTGGAGCTACAACTGGAGGGGGCTGAGGATGACTAAATGAACACCAAACCTGAGGGAATGATATGAAGGCCTACAAACAGAAGACACATAAATGAGATGCAGACAAAGGACACATGAGGGCGCTATGAGACACAGAAGGGAATCTAAAGAGGGAGACACATGAAGGAAGACGCAGACCATGACAGTAGAGGATTCTGAAGACGTCTGGATATTCGTGGTGTTGGTGTCAGGTTTCCTGCTTTTTGGCCTGAGAGGTTATCTGGCTTACCGGAAAATTAATGAGCTGTCGAGGAATATTGGCTCAATCCCTGAGCTCAGAGATGGATTACACCACGCTGTGAATGCACAAACTCATATAATTGTTGAGATGAGTCATAAGCTTGGAACTTTGGCTGAGATTCAGGCTCTGGCACAGAAGGTGGATTCCATCAAGGAGCGAGTTGACGAATCAGCATGGATTGGGATAGATTGACTTACGCCATCATTGGATTTAGAGGGGTTGAGGACCAACGGACAGAGAGGAAATTATCTCTGTCTGGCCCCAAAACAATTTCTTATCTGAATCTGGTGCCCTTGAGCCTGTGAGGCTGAAGCGAATACTCCCCCCTCAGAAGAAATGTGGAATGCTGCCGTCGCCATGGCAACTCAGTCTCCCTATCCCAGCCTAGGCGGGACTGCGACCGAAGGCCGTTGAATCATTCCAGGAGTCACTGTGCTCTCTAAAACCCAACGACCTCCTCCCCCTGTCCAAACGGAGGTGATGAGCGCTGCTTATCGTGGCTGCATGCACTGATGTGTGGACAGTCCCCAACCCTACCGCCCCACCTAGTGGACACTTATGTTGTGTAATGTCTGAAATCTGTTGCATTTCTGTCTGAAGTGTTTTTTGCATAGCAAAGCTGCCCTCCCTGTGGAGGGTAACTCTGAAGTGCCTTTTTTTCCCCTCCACCTGACCCTATCCTCATGTAAACCCCTCTGATCTCTATTAAGGTAGCGTGACTCGGGTTGCGAATGACCACAGTCACCAATTCTTGTCATGTGTTTATGCCTATGTATGTATGTCTGATCTCAGAATTGTGTGTACTGAAACTCTAATTTCCCTCTGGGATTAATAAAGTTTATTGAATTTGAATTTGGGAGACTATTTATAAATAGGCACAAAAAGAAACGTAATAATTTTTAAATGTGATAAACAGCACACAATCAACAATTTGTTGTTTTCCTTCGACTGCACAGTGTAGTAGTGTAAATCTGAATTTGCTAGTTTTCCACTTTTGTTTTGAAAGCAACTCCAGGCCAAATACCGTAATGCTGCATGTTCTAACGCACATCAAAATCAGTTAAAGCGGTCTTGTCAGCCTGTTGCACAGCTCCTTCCCCTGATAAACTTATAAAATTCAGCATTTTATTAATTTTACTTTGTTTCTTGCATTTGTGTATTGTTGGTCGGATCTTTGCTCAAATATTTAGCACACGTATTCAAACTTTTTAGAAACTTTTCCTCAAAATAACAAAAGGAAAAAACATTGTGCATTAAAGCTGAGGTGAAAGGAAATATGAAATGTACAGATTTTCCTTCCTACCTTCTTAATTTATCATTTATTGCAGGATGTGAAACAGTCTTGTTTTTTATAAACTTTCTTGAACTCTTAAATCAGGATAAATTAATGTCTGCATTCAGCCCTGTGTAGGATCTTGACGTGCTGCAGAACATCACATGTGTGCCATACAAAATTGAACTAGCCTTTTTCCTGTCCTTTTGGACTGAAGAGAATTTCCTGCTTGGAATCTGGGAAAGGATAAATAGGGATCCTCCATAGTGATGGGTTAACTATTTACAACTAAAATCCGTCAAAGCATGTAATTTATGGAAGAGGGGATTTGCATGCCAGAGACCAGGACTTTTCCCCGTTCTGTCATTTCTAAATCTGCAAAATAGAGGTAATCAGAGTTCAGTGTCTCTGAGAAGTTCATGAGTGTTTCTACATGCTGTTTTATAGGTGACCAGCAGAACCCCAAGAAGTAGAAATTATACCACATCAGCAAAACATTACAGAAATGTTCTCAGTCATGAGTGTAGGCTGACAAAAGAAGAGCTCCTCAGGGATGTGTGTTCAGTCCCTCACGCTGATGAAAAAACTAGATCACCAAATTGAACACAAATCAGCCCTTCAGGTTTTTTTTTTTTTACAGAGATGAGTCTTTATAGCAGCAAGAGAACAGTATGTTAGCTAGTATGGAGACAACAGTCCATTCTTTAAAGTGATAGGTCAAGTGGATTCCTATAGAAAAGATATGAACAATAACCTATATAGCTATTTTTATGACTTTTGTTTGAAGAAAGAGATACCAGTACTGACTGGATTGATGAGCTAATGAATAGCTGTAGAAGGACCAAGACCAAAGTTGGTTCCTTGCTAATTAAAATGTCTCTAATCTTACAGCAGTGAAACCTTTCTTTAACCATACATTTGGACATAAGGAGGTTTCTTGCATAGAACTCTGTTAGCAGTGGAGCTAGCTAACTCTGATCAGACCATTTTTCTTGTGAGTAGAAACAACACGAAGAGGCTGCATCAGAGTACATTTGGTTTACTGGAAGATTTTATGAGAGTTTATTTTGATTGATCCATAAATATTATTCAGCACCGTGATGTTATTAATCCACACTCCATTATTTATCCATGGTTTGTTATCCATACATTTCAGACTCCTTGGACTATTACTCAGTGAACAATAACGGAATTGTATAGCTCCAGTGCTCAAATAAAGGATGTTTAATTTACATCAGTTTATTTAAAAGATGTAAATACTGTTATACCAACCTAAGGATCATGTAGTTATGACTCATCAAAAGTGAACAAGACACTATGGCACCAGGTCTGTAAGTTCCTGGTGTTGAGCTTTACCAGGTTTACTTGAACCCACCAGACCTGGAGCCCAGTGGACCACCTGAACCCAAAACATGTTCAACAATCTCAAATAGAAACAACAAACTGGCTTTCTGACACAAGCTTTATTTAAACGCAGGAGGAAAGATTCAAGACCACAAAAATCCACCAATAAGAAGAGTTCCTTCATTCCACCAGCCAATCTAAAGCTCCAAACACAGAACGAGTCAGACTGGTTAGCAGAAATCTTACTAATATTGCCAGAAAAAAAGTCTTCAGCCATTCCTCAGGTTCAAATCCCAGTTTCAGATTTTAAAGGAGTTTTAATAAATAATAAATCTACAAAAAAATAAAACTATGTGAATAATAAATGTCATGTTTAGTGTGTTAGCAGGAACAGGAACAATCAGTCTGGCATGAAGCTTTAATGTTTCACAATAAAAGGGTTAAAACACCTGGACAGCAGACACAGGTAGGTCCAGGTGAATCGGGTCAGAACCGACTGAAGACATTAAATTCTAAAAAGATCAAATCAATGACATCATTGACAGCAGTGCGTTACAGTTAGAATGCCACGGTTGGTCATGATGATCAAGAACAGCCTGGACAAGCAGAAGCTGGAGGTTAGGTTCCTCAGACTCAACTTGCAGCTCTGAGAAGGTAAAACATTGAAACAGAAGCAATGTTGTGAAAAAGGAAACATCTCCAAACCCGCAGATGTTCCCTTCCTTCATTTGTGAGCATGATGAACTAATGATTAGACGCGTCAGGATCAAGGTCCAGCACCAGCTCTGTGAGGGTGAAAACCCAAGCACCAGAACCGAGTCCCGACACGAACCAGAAGAACTCAGCCTTTCATACAGGAACCCTGATGTGTTTGATGTTAGGACAATAGACTGAGAATGTGAACTCTGAGACCAGCTCCTCTGACGGTTTACTCCTCCTGCCGTTACAGCAATCTCCTGGTTAGGGGTTGGATCGTGGACAAGTTGTGGGTTAAGTTAACAACAATCATCTGAAGCAGAAGAAGAGAATGTTCTGGCTGCAGGACATGCTATCCTCTGAGAGATCCTCGTTCTGGATCAGGTTTCTTCTGTAACATCTGGAGGTGGTCCATGACCTCCACCTTACCTGCTGGTGGTAGAAGTTGATGTCCATCGTGAAGAATGAAGCTTTAAAGCTTTACATCTGAAAATAAAATACTTCTACTATTGTAGCAGTTTGTGTGTTAGGACCCATCTGGCAGCAGGGTTAGGTCTTTTTGAGGACCACGTCACCTCCTCAGGTTTGGTTTAGCTCCTGGAGAATAAGCAGCTGTGGGGGGTGCAGGGGCAGCTTGGGCCAAAGCTGAGACGACTCTGTACCTAGTGGAGGTCCAGGTTTTACCATCATCAGAGCTTCAGGCAAACTTCTTCTTAGTGGCTGTGAAGCGCTCCATGTACTGGAGAGAGAACAGAGACCATAAAAGACCATTAGAGAGATCAATAAAGATCATCATACACCATTAGAGACCAGCAGATACCAGTAAAGACCAGTAAAGAGTAGTAGAGACAAGTAGAGACGATTAGAGGCCAAAAGAGACCAGTAGAGACTAGCAGAGACCAGTAGAGACTAGCCAAGACCAGTAGATACTAATAGAGACCAGTGGATACTAGTAGAAACCAGTGGATACAAGTAGAGACCAGTAGAGACTAGCCAAGACCAGTAGATACTAGTAGAGACCTGTAGAGACCAGCCAAGATGAGTAGATACTAATAGAGACCAGTGGATACTAGAAGAAACCACTGGATACAAGTAGAGACCAGTAGAGACTAGCCAAGACCAGTAGATACTAATGGAGACCAGTGGATACTAGTAGAGACCTGTAGAGACTAGCAGAGACCAGCAGAGATTAGAAGAGACCAGTAGAGATGAGAAGAGACCAGTAGATACTAGTATAGACCAGTAGATACGAGAAGAGACCAGTAGAGATGAGAAGAGACCAGTAGAGATGAGAAGAGACCAGTAGATACTAGTATAGACCAGTAGATACGAGAAGAGACCAGTAGAGATGAGAAGAGACCAGTAGAGATGAGAAGAGACCAGTAGATACTAGTATAGACCAGTAGATACGAGAAGAGACCAGTAGAGATGAGAAGAGACCAGTAGATACTAGTATAGACCAGTAGATACGAGAAGAGACCAGTAGAGATGAGAAGAGACCAGTAGATACTAGTATAGACCAGTAGATACGAGAAGAGACCAGTAGAGATGAGAAGAGACCAGTAGAGATGAGAAGAGACCAGTAGATACTAGTATAGACCAGTTGATACGAGAAGAGACCAGTAGAGGAGACCAGTAGAGATGAGAAGAGACCAGTAGAGACTAGAAGAGACCAGTAGAGATGAGAAGAGACCAGTAGATGCTAGTATAGACCAGTAGAAACTAGAAGAGACCAGTAGAGACTAGAGGAGACCAGTAGAGACTAGAGGAGACCACTAAAGACTAGAAGAGACCAGTAGAGGAGACCAGTAGAGATGAGAAGAGACCAGTAGAGACAAGAAGAGACCAGTAGAGATGAGAAGAGACCAGTAGATGCTAGTATAGACCAGTAGAAACTAGAAGAGACCAGTAGAGACTAGAGGAGACCAGTAGAGATGAGAAGAGACCAGTAGATGCTAGTATAGACCAGTAGAAACTAGAAGAGACCAGTAGAGACTAGAGGAGACCAGTAGAGACTAGAGGAGACCACTAAAGACTAGAAGAGACCAGTAGAGGAGACCAGTAGAGATGAGAAGAGACCAGTAGATGCTAGTATAGACCAGTAGAAACTAGAAGAGACCAGTAGAGACTAGAGGAGACCAGTAAAGACTAGAAGAGACCAGTAGACCAGCAAGAATCTCAGACGGGGTCTAACCTTGTCGTATCCCTCCAGGTCTCGAAGCTTCTTGACTTCAAACAGGTTCCCTTCCACGGAGAACAGGGACACCTGGGATTCGGCCAGGATGGACTGGGGGATGGAGGACAACTCAAGACAGTTTTCCTCCAAACGGAGAACCTTTAGACGGGGACAGTGAGAGACTTCTGCCGACACCACTGAGATCTGTACAGGGATGAGAGAACTGGGTTACCTGATTGAGTTTGAGGAAGGTTCCATTTATTAGGAACCTGGTTCCAGCCTGAGTTCTACAAGAGCAGCTCTGAGGAAACGAGTGAATATTTAGGACAATGAGACCTGGTTCTGGTTCAGGTTGATCTCAATGGCCTGCAGCTCAGCAACCTCTGCAGGGACACTCTGAATCTGGTTCTGGGACAGGTCCAGCAAGTCCAGCTGCCTCAGGGATCCCAGTCCTAAGGGGAACTTGGAGATCTGGTTCCCAGCCAGGGACAGGGTCCGCAGGGCTTTGAGCTGGCCAAGAGAGGGGGGCAGCTGTTGAATCTGATTCCCATTCAGACTCAGGGTCTCAAGCTTCTTCAGCTTCCCAATCTCAGCAGGAAGTTCATCTGT